TAGAAAGAAGATAATAAAATAACTGAATTAATTAAATTGAATTATTGAAAAAAGAAATTAATTAATGAATAGATTTATAAAATATGATAAAAGAAATTAAATAAAAAGAAATTAAATAAATATAATGAGAATAAAGAGAAATAGAAAAAAAAACAAATAAATAAATAAATATGATTATTAAATATATAAAGAATATATCCTATCATTATCATTTAGATAAATGAAAATGATGATTTATATTGAAAAATTATAAATAATTTTAATAGTTATATGATAAATAAAGAATAACAATTAAAATATCAAATAATTATAGAAAGAAAATATTATAATGAAGTAAAATGATATATGAAAATTTATCAAATCTTTGTTTAATGAATTCATAATTCAAATCTAATGAATTATTTATAATCTTCAATTATTTATAAAATAATATAACTCATATATTATTAAATTATATTACATTAATGAAAATTCTTATTGAAATACTTGATTAATAGAATATAATTAGTATAAATTAATTATTTAAATATTTTTATTCATTTGTTAATTAATTTTTCTTCTTATTTCTTTTCTATAACTTTTATTCTTTATATTCTTTATATTCTTTATATTCTTTATATTCTTTATATTCTTTATATTCTTTATATTCTTTATATTCTTTATATTCTTTATATTCTTTATATTCTTTATATGCTTCTTGTTAAAGTTAGGGTAGACGCATCATGTTTCCATGCACATCCTTGTTAAGTTCTTGAAAAGCTTGCCTTCCATTTCCTTAACTTCCCTCTAAAAATTCTTTTCTTTTACCCCCGTAAGGGCAAGCAAGATGTTAAGCTTGCTAGAACAGATACTACACTTGATCAAAGCCATAAAGGCCGAGAAGGTGTTTTCTTTCTTTTCAGTTCCTCCTTTTATATCCTTAGGGTTTTCTTTTCCCTTTTTTTAGAAGGTAAAACATTGTTATAATTTAATAATTTATACTTCATTTATTTCATTTCCAGATAAA